TTTTTTAGTTCTCGGCGGACACAACATCTTTGTTGGTATGTGGTGCTGAGGATCGAACCCGGGCCGCACGCATGCCAGGCGAGCGCGCTACCGCTGAGCCACATCTCCAGCCCCACAACTTTTTTTTAATAGTAATTATTTTTACCATTATAGTCATCAGGGTTACATTTAGAAACAATATAAAAATAGTTTCTATGTTTGCTTGCTAAGAATTTGAATGGAGATATTTAGATTTTCTCTACATTTTATATTGAGTATTGATGATAATTTGATTTTAATATTATGATATTAAAATATTATCTTAATCATTACAGCATTATAATTTGCTAAAAAGAAGGCAGTGATGATTATGGTGATATGTTAATAGGGATCACAGAAGCACTTTTCTCATGACATCTCATGAAATGATTATTATTACAGTAATTTTGTATATAAGTAAATCCATCCATCAGCTTTGAAATAAATTTCAAAAACAGACCAAAGATATTTTTAAGGAGCAGTAAAGATACTGCAAGAAAATAAAAAGAAAAATAAAAAAGTCAAGTCAAGTCATTAGAGAAGGCACAGCCCTGTGAGAACCCGCTGTGAGCTACTGGGCCTTAAACTGGATCTTTGGATACCTTGACCTTTGGCCTCATCTGGGTGGCCCAGTCAGTAACTGGGAGGTGATTCCTTTCCTGCAGCCTGACTCGGGGTGGCAGACAGCAAGCAGGGATGGCCACAGAGAGGCCCCATTCTTGCGGCAGGCCTGTCTTCCCGCCCAGCCGCCCCCTGCATTCACACACTGCAGCTCGCTGGTCTCTGTGCCTGGCCTGGGGGAGGCTAGGCGTGTTCTCCTGTGTGGGAAGGCTGTGAAAAGAAAAACCCTTGTTGGCCCAAACATTTAGACAAGAGTTACAGTGGATCTTTTGTTCTCACTCTGACATGGTCAGAATTAATTTGGAGGTCCCAAAGAGGGCATTTTGTTTTTGTTTTTAAAACTCTGTTACTTAATGCAAGGATATGCGGGGAAAAAGAACTAAGAAGCATGGCTGTGGTCTATAAAGGAGTATTGGAACACTCCCAGGTCATTTTTCAGGGGAATGTACTGTTAGCAACTGAGGGCTCCTGACTCAGTCTTTACATCTGAGCTGCTGGGGAACTGAACGTCTTGTGAAAAGACCTAGATGCTGGAGGACAAGCAGCGCACTGTGTCTGGGGATCTGAGAAGTAGTTTAAGGTATCTTAATTATGTTTTTTCTCTTCCTCCTCAGGTTTAATAGGGGAAACCTACTTTCTGCAAGTAACTGAGAAATCTGCCCTTGGAAGCTGTTTCTTGGGCCCTCATGGAGTAGTTGGAAGTTTTCTGTTAGATCCGTGGGCTCCTGATCACCCAGAGTAGCCATGGCCAGCAAGAGGAAATCCACCACCCCATGCATGATCCCAGTAAAGACCGTGGTGCTGCAGGATGCCATTGTGGAGGCCCAGCCAGCAGAGGCCTTGCCTGAAGTACCCCAGCAGGATCTTCCCCCAGAAGCACCTGCTACCAGCAGTGAGGCAGCTCAGAACTCCAGCAGTACTGATGGCTCCTCACTGGCCAATGGGCATCGGAACACTTTGGATGGCTATTTATATTCCTGTAAAGACTGTGATTTCAGATCCCAGGATATGACCCAATTTGTGGGACATATGAACTCAGAGCACACAGACTTTAATAAAGATCCAACTTTTATCTGCCCTGGGTGCAGTTTCCTGGCAAAAACCCCCGAGGGGCTTTCCCTGCACAATGCCAAGTGTCATTCAGGGGAAGCCAACTTTGTGTGGAATGTGGCCAAGCCAGACAATCATGTAGTCGTGGAGCAGAGTATCCCTGAGAGCACCAGCACTCCTGACCCAGCAGGGGAGCCCGGCGCTGAGGGGACTGATGGACAGGCTGAAATCATCATCACTAAGACTCCAATCATGAAGATAATGAAAGGCAAAGCTGAAGCCAAAAAAATCCATACTCTCAAAGAGAATGTCCCCAGCCAGCCTGTGGGTGAGGCCTTGCCAAAGCCATCAGCTGGGGAAGCAGAGGTGAAAGAGGGGGACCACACCTTTGTTAATGGGGCAGCTCCAGTCAGCCAGGCACCTGCCAGCTCTGCAAAGCCCCCCCATACCACCAATGGGCCCCTGATAGGAACGGTGCCAGTTCTGCCAGCTGGTATAGCACAGTTCCTGTCCCTCCAGCAGCAGGCCCCGGTGCACACCCAGCACCATGCCCACCAGCCCCTGCCTACATCCAAGGCCCTTCCCAAAGTGATGATCCCCCTGAGCAGCATCCCAACATACAACGCGGCTATGGACTCCAACAGCTTTCTGAAAAACTCCTTTCACAAGTTCCCCTACCCAACCAAAGCCGAGCTCTGCTACCTGACTGTGGTGACCAAGTATCCAGAAGAACAGCTCAAGATCTGGTTCACAGCCCAGAGGCTGAAGCAAGGTATCAGCTGGTCCCCTGAGGAGATCGAGGATGCCCGTAAAAAGATGTTCAATACAGTCATCCAGTCTGTGCCTCAGCCCACGATCACAGTTCTGAACACCCCCCTGGTTGCCAGTGCAGGCAATGTCCAGCATCTCATCCAGGCCGCTCTCCCAGGCCACGTTGTCGGACAGCCAGAGGGCACAGCAGGAGGACTCCTGGTCAGCCAGCCACTGATGGCCAATGGGTTGCAAGCACCAACCTCGTCTCTCCCCCTGGCAGTCACATCTGTTCCCAAGCAGCCAACAGTGGCACCTATTAACACCGTGTGTTCAAATACAACATCGGCCGTGAAGGTGGTCAACGCAGCCCAGTCTCTCCTCACAGCCTGCCCCAGCATAACTTCCCAAGCCTTCCTTGATGCTAGCATCTACAAAAATAAGAAGTCTCACGAACAACTGTCCGCTCTGAAAGGGAGCTTCTGCCGGAACCAGTTCCCAGGGCAGAGTGAAGTCGAACATCTGACCAAAGTCACCGGCCTCAGCACTAGAGAGGTGCGGAAGTGGTTCAGTGATCGGAGGTACCATTGCCGGAACCTGAAGGGCTCCAGAACCATGATGCCTGGGGATCACGGCTCCATTCTCATTGACTCTGTGCCCGAGGTGCCCTTCTCCCCATCCTCCAAGGCTCCCGAGGTAACCTGCATCCCTACAGCGACCTCATTAGCAAGCCACCCTGCTGCCAAACGGCAATCCTGGCACCAGACTCCTGACTTCACGCCCACCAAATACAAGGAGAGAGCCCCAGAGCAGCTCCGAGCCCTGGAGAGCAGCTTTGCACAAAACCCACTCCCTCTAGACGAGGAACTGGACCGCCTGAGAAGTGAAACCAAGATGACCCGGAGAGAGATCGATAGCTGGTTTTCAGAGAAACGGAAAAAAGTGAATGCTGAGGAGACCAAGAAAGCCGATGGGACAGCCTGTCAGGAGGAAGGGGAGGCTGCTGAGGACGAGGCGGGAGAGGCGGAGTTGGCCAGTGAACTGAGGGTTGCTGGTGAAAATGGTTCCCCAGAAATGCCCATCAGCCAGATATCAGCAGAGCGCAAAGTCAGCCCCATCAAAATCAATCTCAAGAACCTGAGGGTCACTGAAGCCAGTGGCAAGAGTGAGCTTCCAGGGCTCCTTGCCTGTGAGCTGGAGGAGGATAGTTTGAACAAGCTGGCAGAGCAACCCCCTGGCAAAGTGAGCTACAAAAAGACGGCTCAGCAGCGACACTTGCTGCGGCAGCTCTTTGTCCAGACCCAGTGGCCAAGCAACCAGGACTATGACTCCATCATGGCCCAGACGGGGCTGCCACGGCCAGAGGTGGTGCGCTGGTTTGGAGACAGTAGGTATGCTCTGAAGAACGGCCAGCTCAAGTGGTACGAAGACTATAAGCGGGGCAACTTCCCACCAGGGCTGCTGGTCATCACCCCTGGAAACCGGGAGCTGCTGCAAGACTATTACATGACACACAAGATGTTGTATGAGGAAGACCTGCAGAACCTCTGTGACAAGACCCAGATGAGCTCCCAGCAGGTCAAGCAGTGGTTTGCTGAGAAAATGGGTGAGGAGACCCGGGCCGTGGCAGACACAGGTGGTGAAGACCAGGGCCCTGGTACTGGTGAGCCTGCGGCAACTCACAAAGGGCTGGGTGACTCCTATTCAGAGGTGTCTGAGAACAGTGAGTCGTGGGAGCCCAGTGCACCTGAGGCCAGCTCAGAGCCCTTTGGTAACTCAAGTCCCCAGGCTGGACTTCAGCTAGGTAAGGAGTCTCCAGGAGCCATGGCCTTCCTTTGTGGGTGAGGGGAGGATGCACTCACAGGTGGACATTGATTTATTGCACAGGGGGCATCTGCTGTCTCTAAGGCTGCCTGGCAACAGGACTAACTTCCTGTCTACTTGAGGGGACAACAGGCAACAGAAGCCATGGGAGCCTAGTATGGATAAAGGGGTGAGAGTTGGGCTTTTGTTTTGGTTCATTTGTTTTAAGCCTATACAGGGAAAAGAACATGGTAAATCTAAAAGGACCCAACCCTTTTTTTTTTTTTTTTTTTGGCCATTTCTTAGCAATAGAAGAATAGATCAAAACATCATCTAAGGCAGATCCCCAATCACTGGGTAGAAGAGAGCCATAGGACATCAGAGGAAAATCAACTCAAACTGTTAAACAAGGGGGAAGAGCCTTTGTCTTTAGATACATGAAGTGATACCAGGTGCTGTGGTGCACACCTGTAATCCCAGTGGCTCAGGAGGCTGAAGCAGGAGGATCACAAGTTCAAAGCCAGCCTCAGCAACTTAAGGAGGCCTTAAGCAATTCAGGGAGACCCTGTCTCTAAATAAAATATTATAAAAGGGCTGGATATGTGGCTCAGTAGTAAGCAGCCCTGGGTTCAATCCCTGGTACCAAACAAAAATACATGAAGTGCTTTTATCTAATGGTGGCAGGGTTTGTGTTTCTGTTTTTCCTGAAGTAGAAGTGTTTATTATAATGGAAATCACCTTCTCTCTTGGACATATATGGAATTCAAAGTTTGAATTGTGTTCCTCAGTTTCTTTGAATTATGGTATTTTAGTATTCAAAAGCAAAATTCAGAAAATTATTTTAAGACGTAGTTGTGAAGCCACAGACAAGTCACATTATCAGTTGTTAACTTTCTAGGTTCTAGGTCCCTGAACTCTCAGCCTCTCCCTTTGGTATTTGATTCCTCATTTAAGGCCCCATCACTGAGCAGCCAGAAGCTTCAGGGAGAGCCAAGAGGGAAGTGTTGCAGAAGATGAAGGGATTGGGGACTTAAAGATGGTGGCCCTGCCAGCTGGGTTGGCTGTGGTGAGGGTGCAGAAGATACCCAGACAATGCCTTTAGAGTTGTAGAGTTTTCCTGATTGACTTCAGTTCTTTGTTCATGATTTCCTTCAGTTCACTAAACTTCTGTAAGATAGCTGATTTAACATCTTTGACTAATAATTCTAGTGTCTAGACTTACTCAAGGATGGTGTCTGAATGCTGTGAATGGGCCATGCTTTCTGATTTCTTTGTATGTTTTGCAATTTTTTTGTTGAGAAAAAAATGGGGTGGGCATTAAGGACTTTGTCTTCCAAAAGTCAGTTTTAAGTTTTGATTGCTGATCACTGCATTTGATTACTGAGGGGTCAGCATAGAGACTGGTCATTTTTCCAATCCCTGTGGGCTGAAGCAGCTTCCTAGCCACAAGGGATTTAAAGAGACAGTACTCTTTTAAAAAATTCCCCCTTTTGGTGAATCAGACATTTAAAGAAATCTTAGGTGGCCACAGAGACCACAGAACAGAAACTTCAGTAACCCCATACCACAAGGAATACCATTTTGCAAAAATAGTTTGGAAAAGTTCACAGAAGGCTTTAATCCTCAAAAAGAAAAAATTAACAATGCTGGAGATGGAGAGAATTAGATTTTGAGTTACCACACAGTCTTCAGAAATTCTAGTTCTCAACAAAAAAATTGCAAAACATACAAAGAAATCAGAAAGCATGGCCCATTCACAGCATTCAGACACCATCCTTGAGTAAGTCTAGACACTAGAATTATTAGTCAAAGATGTTAAATCAGCTATCTTACAGAAGTTTAGTGAACTGAAGGAAATCATGAACAAAGAACTGAAGTCAATCAGGAAAACTCTACATGAATAACAAGCCTATCAATAAAAAGATAGAAATTATAAAAGGGGGAACCAAACTCTAGAGCTGAAAAGTACAATCACTGAAATGGAAAGTTTATTAGAAGGGTTCAACAGCAGATTTGAGCAGTGAATCTAAAGTTTAGATGATTGAAGTTTTCCAAAGGATAAGAARAGAGAAAAGAATGAAGGGAAATGAACATAGCCTAAGGGACCTTTAAGACATCATTAAACATACTGATATATTTATTATAGGAATCCTAGGAGCCAGAAAGGGGAAGAAAGAGTATATAAAGAAATCATGGCAGCTGGGTGGTGATGCACACCTCTAATCCCAGCAATTCAGGAGAGGGAGACAGGAGGATTGCATGTTCAAAGCCAGCCTCAGCAACATAACAAGGGCCTAAGAAACTTAGCAAGACCCTGTTTCAAAAAATAAAAAGGGCTGGGGAATATGGCTCTGTGGTAAAGCTCCCCTGGGAGTCCCCAGTTCTCCCTCCCCCTCAAAAAATTTATGGATGCTGAACCCCGCTGTTGTGATATGAGGGCAGCTTGTTCCAGGGGGTGGTGAGGGAGAAGGCAGCATGAGGTGTAGAAGACAGGGCTTGCAGGAGGTGGTGGCTGCCTGTGGCACTGGGGTGAGGCAAGGTAGGGTTTGTGGGTGTGGAGAGGCCATGCTGATGCTCCAGCTTTGAGGCCAGGGGTTTGGCAGCTGTTCTGCAAAGAGACTAGAGGTCTTGGCACATCAGCCATCATCCTTAACCCACTTGCTCTTTTTCACCTTTCCTCAGGCTGGAGATGGGGGAGTGGCTGGCAGGAAGGCATTGCTCATGGAGTTAAGAAGTCCCCAAATCCAGTGATGCCACCCTGGCATAGTGAGGACCAGGCTGCCCTGGGGGCTGTACAGATTGCAGCAGCTATGGAGTGACAGGCCTGTGTTTTCTCCTCAGAAGCAGACTGAAATTGATCCGATTACTCTGAAGGACCGGCCCATCTGGGATGCTGCCTGCCACATGGAACAGCTGAACCTGCCTCTCTGCTGCCACATGTCATTTCCATGGCCAGCCACTGGGTACCCAAGAAGGCCTCCAGAGGCCTTGCAGATAGCCCAGAGCCTGTTGCCACCAAGCAAGTGGCAAGAAGGGGTTCTGCCAGTCCTTCCTCCCACAGTGTAGGACCTTCCCTTGGCCTCCCAGGGATAAAGCAGTTCAGACTTCATATTCATAGACAGAATCAAGTTTTAACAAACATTGCCTCTCTACATTTAATAAAATACCAGATTACAAACACTTTCATTATATAGACACTTTGGTTAGCAAAGTGGGACGTTGTTCACATCATCTCTGAATGTGCCGTTTGTCTGTTCTCTGGGGAGCACTGGAGCCACTGATGCCCTCACCTTCCATGGGCAGGCAGGGGTTAAAGATGCTCAGAACTGTATCCGGGCCCCCAGGCCTGTCTGCTTTCCTCACAGAAGGATACCATTGAAGAGCTCTCGGTCATGTTAAGTGGTGACCAGCCACTTTTGGAGCCAGGATTGCTTTGTGGGCTGGTTGGTGCAGAGCCTGTTGTTGCCCTTAGGTCAGAAAATGGCCTGGCTGTGCGAGTAGTGCTGGATCCTGGCTACTCTCCTCTTCAGCTGTTACCTTAATTCTGCTTTTTTTTTTTTTTTTTGGTGGGAGTTTGAATCATGGACCATAACTTTTCAGTTATCAGATCAACTAAAGAAATATTTGTTGTTAAGCCTAATATACTGACCTATGTGCCCCCCACCCCCACCGTGTTTTCTTTCTTTCTTTCTTTCTTTAATGTAGAAATGTAGACACCTTTATAGTGAGAGGAAAATGAAGAAAGGAAATGGGGAGAAGGTGGGTGAAGGAAGGTATAGCTACAGCCTGCAGTCCTGGCTACTGCAGTGTTGAGAGCCCTGTCCCCCCACTTACTACAGAAGCTCCCAGGAGAGTAAGAGGGAGGGCTGAATGGATTCGTGGAGCGTGGGGAATTATCAGAGCTGGAGTGGACTTGAGCACCGAGACCTATGGGTGGGAGTTCCTGGCAGAACATCTGGTACGCTGCAACCACACACCAAGGGCCTGGCCAGCATGCTGGGCAGATACCCAGAGGTGCTGGACATCACTGGACAGGTCCTTGTGAGGGAGTCTCTGAAGTTCTGCATTTATGTCCCTAAACTTGGAAGTAAGAATGCTTATATAGTCTAACCCTCACGTCCTCCTTTGAATTGAGAAAATCACAGGAAAAGAAGCCTTTGAAACAATGGGAAACTTAGAGTTGTACTAACTAGAAAAGCCCCGATTTCCTCAAGACCGGCCACTTTAGCAAAGGGGGTGGGCTGAGGATGTGTCACCTGTGGCCTCACCAACCTCTTAGAAGTGAACCAAAGACATTGGTTCCTGCAGTGCCAGGCACACGTGGAGGCCCCTCCTGCTGGGCCTGGGCTGCCTGGGGCACCAGGAGACCTGGGCAGGGAAGGGCTCAGGCATTAAGCGCTGGTTACACTCTATGTACCCAGGAAAGTGGAGCAGTCACACCGTCTTGCTGGCTGAGCTGTGGGGATGAGCTTGGTGCCAGCAGCCTCTGCCTTCTAGGAGAGAGCTTTCTTGGGAAACTCAAAGCCCTCGAACCATTGTTGTTCTAAATTAGTGTTTTCTTTAGCCCTCCCTAGCCCAATAGGGACCACCTCTTATTTGTCTCAAACTGGGGACTTGTGAATACTTCTGCAAGTTTTGCAGCCTATTTTTGTATCCTTTCCATTTGGGGAGTGAAGCTATGAGTCTCAAAAGCCTTTGAGGAATTGCCAAGAATGGCAAGTGATCGCCTTCCTTCAGAGAACAGACACTTGGAATCTTTCCTTTAGTTTTTATGTACATTCAGATTAATTTATATATCCACATATACAGTACAGATATTCATTTGCTACCTTACTTGTAAAGTGAACATCTGATGTGTACACTTGAGCTTCACAGTACGTGGATGTTGGGGAGCAGCCTGTGTGCGGGCAGGGGCAACCCAGCATGAAGCCATCTCCAAGTGTCTGAGAAACCACTCTGTGCCTCAGCCCATGCCTGCCAGCCTCACCTCGAGTCTGTGTGCACCAGCTGAACGTTAGTGTCTGCAGAGAGGGTTCTTGTGGTTATCTGCGTTGACATTCTATTTACAACCCAAATAGCAAAACAGAAAAAACTTGTCCATGGTGTTCAAGTTTGTGCAGGACCCTGCACCCCAGCCCCAGGCACCAGCTCACCTTTTGGGTGGAGTAGTTATGGTGAGGCCAGCCCTGGCATGTTTTTCTCACAGATGTTGGCCCTTCCCATCAGCCAGGGCCACATGACAAACAGTAAGACTGACCAGATAGGAGCCCCGCAGACTGGACAGACCCTGCTTCTTCCTGAGCTCCTGGATGGGAGTGAGAAAGTGGGATTTGGACCTTCTGCTTGAAACATTATGACACTGAGAAGTGGTCATGAAGCAGGTGCTTTAAAGGGATATCATTATGGAACCCAGGGCTTCGGGTGCCCAGCACAGAGACCCATCCACATGTGCCCAGAGTCCATAATCACATTGACAATGGTGGTGAGGGGGTGGGTGTGGTCACCAGGCCGGCAGCTTGTCACAAGACAGATCACTGGTACTGCACACTGCTGAAGGGTTAAATTCTCTGTGGTCCCTTTCAATAGAAGACTGGCTGTGGGCTGCGGAGTTAAGCAAGGTGAGTGGGTGGCTGTTCTTTCCTGAAGAAAAGCTTATGTTACCAGAGGACGGATCCCCCCTCCTCTCTGCACCTGGGCTTGTCTGAGGCAGTGGATTGTCTTCCAGTGTTTCTCATTGCTGGTGTCTTATGCCTGTTTGGTTTATTGTGTTTTTCACTTGAGGTTGTAAATTAAGTTCTAGGTGAAACCAGATCACAGTTCTGATAAAGGAAATTTGAATTTGATAATATACTTTACATATTTTGATTACCTGTTTTAATTTTTGACCATAGAAGAGCTTTTTGATTTGGGGAGGGGAAGTATTTTCAGGTCTCTCAGGTTCCTGAAAAAGAAGGCCCTAGTTGTATGGCTCAGAGTGACTGAGAGCTCCTTTTTTTTGGCCGAGTGACAAGTGGCTGGTCAGGTGGACCAAAGCACTTGGGTCCAAGACTCTGCACTCTGCTCTCTGGAAGCAGAAAAGGCAGAGTGTCGGTGGCACCTTAAGGGCTTCCACTTGCACTCACGGGCTCGTCCTAAGTGGCCTTGGGAGGCCATCCCATCAGGAAGCTCTAGTGAGTTCTACAGGCTGCATGTGGTTCTCGTGGGTTTTTATCCTGTCTTCCCTTCCTCTCCTTTCTGGTTCTGTCGCATCTGTCCCCCAGCTGCCTTCCATGGAGGGTTGGGGGTAGCCTCTCTGGTTGGACTTGGTCTTTTTGCACATCCTTCCTCGGGATTTGCCTGCTTATACTGTTCCAGTGTTGGGCCCTTTTGCTTGTCATCTTCCTCATCTGCATGTGGACCAGGATTCTTGGATTAGTCGCTTTGCAGTCCAGACATCACAGCCTATGTTTAAAGGCACTTGGCGGGAGAGAACCAGCCAGGAAGAAAACCTAAAAACAAGTCTAATCTAAAAACAAGTCTTGGAGCTTTTCCCCCACACCCATGTTCAGTTTACCTGGGGGAATTTCATTGGTCTGACCTTTGTAGGAGATGTGCTTCTGTATTAAGTTTTAATTTTCATGCATCGCACTCATTTGCAAAGCACAGGTGTGCTGGAGGAAAAAAGCCCTCTGGATGTGTGCAGGTCTTACTGCCAACTTGTCCTGACCAAAGCCAGCTAGTGGGGCCTGGAGCTCCTCTTCAACTTCTCCCACCTTGGCTTCTTTCTGTCTTCCCTGACAGTGGACACGGTTCCCAGGAGCACCTGGTCTCTGACGAGCTCAGTGCCTGTGGAGCTTCAGACTTTCTCTGAGCACAAGTCTCCTCTGCAGGAGACCTAGGCTTCAACCCAACATGCCCACTGTGCTGTTTGCTCTGGCCCATTTAAATGTGCAGCCATGCAACCCGGGGCTGATGAGATTGTGGGGATGTCGTCAACAAAGTGACCATTTTGGTTTTGGCCAAATGACTGGATGGAAGTGGTGACCACAGTGCTGCCTGGCTTGTTACCTAGCCCAGCCCCAAATCCCAATGGAACTGGCAGGCCTTGGATAGAATCTGTTCCTGCCAGAGTCCAAGCCACACTGGGAGCTGGGGTGAAGCGGCAAACCCAAGTACTCTCAGCTGACCCAGCACCTGCGTAAAATGAACCCGTACAGATGTGTGGCCCTAGAGAGGATGGAGAGCCTGCTTTGGGGTCTTATGTCCTGGGCTCACTTGTCAACACTAGTCAGCCATCCTGTCCTGCCCATAAACCTGAACTTCTCTTTAAAAGTGGACTTGGTCCTTCACTAACCTGCAGAAATGACAGGTGTTCCTTTTTAGCTAAAGGTCCAACAGGAGCTACCCACTCTTAACTGCCCTGGAGTCTGGGAATGAGACCAGGCAGACCCTGGTTGCCACATGGATGAGGACAGGAGCCTGTACCTGTTTCCTTGGTCTTTGGGTCTACAGGACTGTGAGGATTTGTGGAATTACTGATTATTGTTTGCCCTTCCTGAGGTTTTGGCAGGAACTGGGCAGAGTGGAGGGAAGAGAGGGTAGCTCTTTTTGCTGCCTGGTGCCTTCCTGCCGTCTGGGCAGGTGGCAAGCCAGGACCCTGTGGGGGGCCTGTGTTCAAATGCCATTAGTGCCTCTTCCTTCTAGAGACTGGCTTGGGTGTGTGCATGCATACATGTGCCAGTTGTGCACACACATGGGCAACTGCATGTGTTAATGAACAGCTTTTTTTGGTTCCCTTCCATGAAAATCAGGTGATTCTGAATTAATTTGATTGGAGTCAAAGGTGAAAAGTCTGGGATAGAGACTGCAAGTGCTCAGTCCTTCCCAAGCACCAAGCTCCAGAGCAGAAACATGGTTAAGAGGGCCACATGGTACTATCAACCCTGTACTTTGTGTTTAAAGAGATATCTTCTCATTCACCTGTGGTTCTTGCCCATACATTCTTGCAGTGAGATTGTTGGCTGGAGAGCAAGCTAGTACCCACTCACAAGCAGGGTTCCACCATGACAACTGGGTTGCTCCTTGGGAAACTGGGTGAGGGCCAGGGGAGCAATGATCACACTGGGGTAGTGAGTTCCTGCCAACTCCTGAGCAGCTGCTTTCTTAGCTGTGGCAGAAGGGTCAGACTGTGCCACAATTGTTGTTAAAAACAAAATATGCCAACCTTCCCCTCTGCCCTGCTGGCCGTTGTTCATTCAGTCTTATTGATGCAGTCTTTGGGGGTTGCCAAAGGCCTGCAGATTCCTTTCTCACTGAGTCCTGACTCCTAGTCCTCTAGCACCCACTTACGTTCTGGTCTTCAGTGCAAACCCCTTTGTTCTCTGTGGGCCAGACTACTGAGAAGTGAGCCTGGGGAGTGACGCGAGCAATTTGCCTCTGGAGTGCTTCCTGTCTCCTGGGGACAACTGCAGAAGTGATCATCCGAGTACTGAGTGAAGGGCTACTGTCCTGTTTGTCCAGAGGCAAACTGAAACTCTAAACTATTTGAGGGTCCCACCTCCTATTGTGACCAAGCATGAAACCAAACTGAGAAAAAGGCATGCTCTGTCATTTGGGTCTGAGTGGAAGGGGATTCTTTACTCTGCATAAATAAAGATGGAGCTTACCTTTGGTGTGGACTGTGGTGGTGCTGAGGCGGGAGGCATGGGGTTGCCCTCTTTGGGCTGGTTCTCCAGGCCTCACAAGGTCCCCTGTGGGGATGCTGCTATTTCTAAGATGCAAATTGCACATTTCCTAGATTTTGTATCTGTGGACTTGGATAAGGGAGGGGAACAGGGACAAACTACTTGTACAGTTTGAGATGGGCCTCAATGGTACTTCAAACCTTTTGATCGTTCCTAAATAAAAATGTACATATATTTTGCATCTGCTGACGTATTTTGTGGGGAGTCAAGGGGGAAAAAACTGGCTTATGTATCCTGTGGGCCAAACTTGATCACAAACTTACAAACTTTGGTGGACAAGTAGAGTTTCTCTCCATTCTAGAATGGTTGCAACCAAAAATATTACTGTGCCTTATTGTCTGTCTCCTTTTCCTTGTGGCACCCCCCAGAAAATTTAGTCGAATTTTGCAACTTGGTTTTAGCCTAAGTCCTATTGTACAAAATGCTCAGATTAACCCTGGGGGGACCCGGGGAGAATACTCAGGCTGAGGGCTTGACCTACTCAAGACCAAGGAGGCATGACCTTTTTGTTCACTTTGCTGGTGTGGCAGAACACCCTGATACCATTCTTTTTCCCTTCAACAGAATCAATATGGTGAGATGGTAGGCAAGTTAAAAGATTCTTCTTGCCCCAGGTCCATCCTTTAGATGAAGTCCAGGGTGTGCTCCGTAGGAGGAAACCTCCTGCCCTTTTTGCGCTTTACATCTTTTTTAAAAAATAACTTTTTATTATTTTTATGTGGTGCTGAGGGTCGAACCCAGGGCCTTGCACGCGCGAGGTGAGCACTCTACCACTGAGCCATAACCCCAGCCCCTGTGCTATACTTTTTAATGGGTTTCCTCAACTGAGATCACAAACTGCTCCTGCTTTCTTCCTGAAGAGCAGCCTTTTGCCCTGCAGCCGGAAGTGGAATGCTCCGACCTTGTTGGCAATGTTCTCTACGTGTGTCCACCGGGTAAAAGCTGTTGAAAGCTAAAGTCTGCTCCTTTGACCCTGTCCACTTGTCCCTGGTCTGCCAGCCAGCTGGGAGATGGGCCACTTCTCTTTGCCTGTGTTCCTGGTAACATTCACTTCCCCTCTGACCCTGTTTCTTCTGGTTTCCTCTGCCAGAGTCAGTGCTTCTTAACCCTGATCACTCAATGTTATCACCTAAGGAACTTGCAAACACCACCCAAGGGAGAGTGTTCAGGTGCCAGTGTTTTTCAGAGACTCCATGGCGGGTACTCGGGTGTTACCAGGCTGAGACTTCCAGTGGGTTTGAAAGGCAGTGCCACCCACTGTCCCAGGTGCACAGCCTGTGTGCAGGTGAGGCAACTGACCACAGGATGCCAAAACATTCAGTCCAACAAAGATGGTCCCCACTGGGACAATCAGCAATGGTCAGGTATGGCTGGAGGAATGTGAAATGAAACTGATTTGCATGTTTGCTCGACTAAGGATATTTTCCACCAGGAAGGATCAAATAGCAGTAGAGGCAAAGGCAATGTGGTAAAGAGCCCACAGCAGGTGGGCCTTTTGTCCTGGAAGCTGCTAAGGGATGGCAGAGATGGGCCTCCCTCAGGCCACATTCCAGGACACTTGTTCAGTCAATGAAGGCATTACTGTGGTCAGCACCAACAGATTGTCATCACATGGCGACATGGATGGGCCCTATCTATCTGCAATGCCAGCAGACCACTCCCTGCTCCAGAAGGAACACTTTCTCCTTGGTCCACAAGAATCTGAAGCAGGAAAAAGGGATTCCCACCAACTACCTCTCTGTGCAAAAGGACCAACCAACCATCCTCTCTCCACAATGGGATGCTGAAGCTGTAAGATGAGGTAGAGAAGGTGGCCTTATACCTCCCGTTCGTCCAGAAGGAAGATTGGCTGGACCTGAGAGGTTTCCAGAAATGTCTCACACAGCTTCTATTGCCAAATAATCACCAGGCAACCGGTTTCCCTGAGCCCCCATTCCACAAAACATACGAGTTAAAGGAAAAAGGACATGAGGATGATTTATTTGGCAGTCAGATCTTAAGAGGGCAGCAGAACTAGCAAATGGCCAACCCTGAGCCCAAACGAGGGCAGTGGGTTTGCGTGTGCTGAATGCTGGCTATGCTATGAGGCACCATTGCGCCCACGGGCCTAGACCCCAGCCTCTGTCCTCAGAGGTAGGGGCTGCCTTCCCGAGCTTTCCATCTCCTTCCCTGCATATTTTTACCAACTAGACAAAAGTCATGCTGAGCCAACAGCTTGGGTCAGCACCTGACTGACTGACTCCCCCTACCTGTGAGGCAGCAGTTCCTTAATTCCCTTCCTGTTCCTAAGGGAGAATATATTGAGTCTTCATTTCATTGCTTAAAAGAAAAAAAAAGAAAAAGAAAAAAAGAAATAAAAAGCTCACCAGGATAGGCTTGGCCCTTTCTTCTCTTCCCATCCCACTCCTCCACTCCATGGTGCCTTAATACCCCACACTGAGCCCCACCCAACACAGCTGGCTGCCGCTCCCAAAGGCTCTGCTCTGAGATGGCCCTTCAAGGGTGAGGAGCAGAAGGAGTAAATAACTTAGTTATGCTACCACTGAGAAGAAAAATAATACTGCTATTTTTATCATGATCCCCTGTATCTTTCAGGCTGGGTAGTATTCCCGGCCATGGGCAATGTGCCCTTGTGCTGTGTCCTCCTCCTCCCTGCAGGGCAGAGCCCTTCTCCACACAGGCCCTGCATTCCTCCACCCTGGCTCCAGGGCTAAACTGCGGGGGCATCTACCCTCTCACTCTGCCCAGCTGTGGTTTTAAAGCTACAGGACAATGTAAACTTTGTTTCCCTGGCCCAGCAAGGCGGCTCCTCCTCCTCCACTCAGGAATGTCAGCGGCTCCTTGAAGCCTCCTATGCTGCTGAAGCAGCCTCTCCAAGGGGCTTCGGCCCTGCTTCTGTCCCTACAAGATGGAAGAACCCATCTCC